CACAGACTGAGACAGGAGGATGGAAGATTCAACATCTGATGGTACCCACTGCCCTGTTAGGACACAGTGACCTCAGACCGTCGTGCATGGTCATGGCTTCCTCACACACAGATTTAAATATCACCGCATAGGAAGCATCCCTGTGCAGTTCCACAAAGCTGAGGACTTCTGATTTCAAGCACATTGAACTATGCTAAAACAGGAGAGTGGAGGCATCAATTTCTTTTGAACTGCACTCTTACTATTAGTTATCTGAGACTTCAGTACAGTGAGTTTTGATCGTACTCACCCCTATTTTTGTTTCAAGAAGGGCTGATCAATTAATGTTATTTAAGAAAAAAAACTATTAGTGTGTCCACCAGAAGAACAGGCTGTCTCAAGTATTCTACCGAAAAGAGTTAGAAAACTGGTTAATTAGAGAAAGAACAAAGGAAACAGGCTAGATGGATGGTTACAAACACTTACTGTCCTTCCAGAAGACCTAAATGCAGACCCTAACACTCACAGTAGCTCACAGCTCCTTGTAATTCCCACTCTAAGGGATCCAACAACTTCCCTGGCTTCCATGAGACTCCCCCTCCCCCACAACATGCTTATACAGGTTAGCAAGCACACATACATAAATCAAAATAATAAATCTTTTGTAAAAGAAACCACTCCAAGGACTCTCTTGCCTGTACTATAAGTGTTGGGGTACTCTATGTGAAGGTCTTTGTGTACTCCGATGCTAACACTGTACCGACAGAGGGCTAGTGGCCCATCACCAGTCTCCTATTTTGTAAATATTTGTTCCTTTCTCACCAGCCTAAGGCAGTCTAGGATTGTACCTGATTGGCTTTAATACATTCTGACAGCCAATAGCCGGGCAGAAAGTGGAACGCAGAACTTCTGGGCAGAGAAAGGGACTCAGGGAGAAGAATCAAGGGATTCAGCAAGAAGACACAGACGTGGAAAGAACAGAGAGGTAGACCTGGCCTTGCGGTGGGCATAGTGCCAGGATTAGTCTGTTAAGAGTAGCTGAGCAGTAGCTCAAGCTGAAAGGCCTAAGCTTTAAAATATTAATAAGCCTCTGTTGTTGGGAGCCAACTCTGAGAAGAAAGCGGCTATCATCTTTGCAGCCATCTTGAGCCATATACCCTGACAAAGGACTTGTTTTCAACAGCCTACAACAGCTGAGCACACTCTGATAATTATCTTGATATACTCATGATTTCCTTTCAATCAAGGCCAGGCAGTGGTGGGACACGCCTTTAATCCCAACACTTGAGAGACTCAAGGCGAGTCTCAAGGCAAGACTTGAGAGATATAAAAGGAGAGACTTGAGGAGAGAACAGAGCAGACTCTGTCTCAACTCCATTCTTTGCATCTCTGTCCCCACTCTCTCTCTTGCTAGTTAGTCCCTGACCCTCGGACTGGAGCAGCAGAATGGGCCATTACACTCTGTGTCATTTATATCACTGGTGGCCTGCTATATATAAGAACTCCTAGTAACCTTGAACACTTTGTCTTTGGAAAGGAAGAAAAAACTTGATTAAGTGATGAGTTTCTGGGCTATCAGGCAAAGAGCTTACCACATGAGGACCCAAATTCAACCCCCCCACCCACCCAGAACCCATGTGAAGACAGAATAGAGTGGCATGAGTGTTTATGGTCACAATTTTTCAACAATACAATGGGAGGTGGAGACAGGATACTGAGAACCTCCCAGACTAGCTAGTCTGGAGCACACAGCCACAAACAAGAGACCCTGTCTTAAATAAGACGGAAGACAAGGAAAGCTTAACCACAGAGGCTGTCTGTTAACCTCCCTATGTACACTATGGCCTGAGGCAACAGCACTCATGTGTGTGTGTGTGTGTGTGTGTGTGTGTGTGTGTGTGTACCACACACACACATAGACATATACACAGGCACACACATGTGTACAGGTAGAACAATGTGAGTTCTGAAAACAATATTTCAGATGGATCAACATCATGCTATACGTATCAATCCAAATAAGCACCATATGCCCAATCTGATCCCACCTGCCATGGCATCCCCACCATATCCTATTGGGACACCTTTCCATTGTACCATCCAAAATCCCCATTTCTTACAAGGTTCTCTTGTATTTCACATCAGGTTTACATATTGAAGATTTAACATCTTCAGTTAGCATTTGAAGCTTTCATTAAACTCTATTTGACTTCCAGAACTGTGCATAAATAAAGGCAAATTTGTGAACTCCCGGTGACCAACATAGCATATTCATTTCTCTTCTACGGAGAGAAGGCCTCTGAAGCATAAAGTTCCATCTCTAAGTATTTCATAACTGAACCAAGCTGTTGGTTTTCTTGCTCCCATGAGATAATAAGAGGCTGGAAAACTCACAAGCAAATTCTTGCTATTCACCATGCTTCCATTGGGTGTAGCTATGCTATTAAAAAGGTGCTTATCGCTGCCTGTGTACGAAGGAAGGATGCTGGGACATTTAGGGGTATGTAGGAACTTTCCTTGTCTTTGGCATCAAATTGTTTTAATTACCTGTACATTTGGGGAAAACCAAACTAAATATTTCCAAACCTGTCAGGTCAAGATGGATTTTAGCATGCCTTTGAATTCTCAAAGGAAGATACCTATAACGTTAAAATCTGTGCTCCAAATTTAATTAGTGATTGTTTCTCCATTGCTTAACCTTTTAACATACTCATGGGATTCGCACCTAGCTCAGCACCTTTGGTGTACACAGACATCTGCTGGGTAAAGTGGGATTAAGGTGAGGAAAATGGAGAGGCTGGGAAGATGACTCAGTCAGGAAAGAACTTGTCATACAATACAAGGACCTGAGGTCAGACACCCAGTATGCATGTAAAAGTCAGGCATGGCGGTGTGTCTGTCATTCTAGCTCTGGAAAGGGGAAAACAGGCAGATCCCTGGACACATTAGCCAGATAATCTCACCAAATTGCGGCAGGATACTCTGTTTCAAAAAAAAAAAAACACAAATGCACACACGTCCCTCCCACATACACAACACATATACACACACACACACACACACATGCACACACACACACACACACCTGCACACACACATGTGCGCATGAGCACACATGCAAGCACACACACACAGGCCTGCTCTATTCAATGACAGTTCTGGGCAGAATGTCTTAAGATGTCTATTTATACTAAAAGGGGAAAAAAGCCCACAGTATTTCTCCTAAAATGCAAAGACAGCTTCCATGCCGAGAAGAAAACTGTTACTCATTTCTTAACAACACCATATGTCTCCAAGTAGATAGATCGTGACGTAGTCAGTTCCCAGGGGATGTTCTGCATGGAAGCTAACCAAGTCAAGGCAAAGGCTTCACTACACACACACACACACACACACACACACACACACACACACACGTTGATTAACCAACATCATTTAAGCATCCTCAAGAATGGTCTTTCTATTTTCCCTCATTCTCAAAAAAAAAAAAAAAATCAGGACAAAAGCCCCATCTACTCCACCAAAATACCTCTCCTTTTGCTCACATTTTCTCCTCTCTGTAACATCACTCTGTTTTACAGAATTTAGAACTCAAATTTCCATCCCCTCTGAAGGATGTTGAAACTCAGAATGTAAATTAATATACATATGTCATATATGTATATATAACACATATGTACTTATTCCCACTGAGACAGTCCATTGTTAAAGAGCAGTAAAGCAACCAAGAGTCATTAGAAAGTTCCTCATACACTATAACTTTTCTCAGTACAGCACTTCATTCAATCCTAAGTTTTTATGTATTAACATGAAATACTATTTTTGGACAAAGGGTTTCAAGTAGCCCAGGCTGTCCTTAAAGTCTCTAAGTAGCTGAAGATGATCTTGAACTTCTGATGCCCCTGCCTCCACTTCCTAAGTGCTGGATGACTGGCGCGAACCACCATGCTTAGGTCTCATGACTGTCCAACATCAAATACATCTTTTTCTAGTACCAGATTAAGCTAAGTTAAGGTGTTCATAATTCTGATAGACATGATATATTTTATGTTTTATGTTAAATGTAACTCTTAGTAACATGAAGTGGTATCTTTTTACAGTGCATATAAAAATCTTAAGATGTCTGCCTTGGGAAAATATAAAATGCTTTGGGATAGTATAGATTGGAGCCTTTAATAATTTTTCAAACTGTCACTTATATTATTGTAAAATATGAATTTTTTGCACTCAGGTTTCATGGCTGTCAAATTGCCATAAAGCTTCTAAGTGCTTACTTGTCTTTGCACATTATTCTTACAAGTGGACAGTGCTGTTAGGGTTCCAGCATGAGCTTTCCAGCTCTTCTATGAATATCCCTACATAGCCACTTGATACACGGCAGCTGAAGGAGTCAACGCTCATGTTGAGAGTCACAAGCATCCCTCATCTCAAGTATACCAGCACTTTGCTCTGTTTTGCTTCTAATCCACTTCATGGAATCAGCAGCACAGATTCAACCACGGACCAAATGAAGAATCACCAAGAAAGTCTGGGAGCAAGTCATTAAATTCTGTTGAAACACACACGTGTATAGGCTGGAGAGTTGGCATGGTGGGTGAAGTGCTTGCTGTACAAGCATGCAGGCTAAAGCTAAAATCCCCAACATCCATGTAAACGCTAGGCATGGCTATGCCCTAGGGAGTGGAGACAGGTGCATCCCTGAAGCTCATTGGCCAACAGTAGAATCAAAACGGCGAGCTTGAGGTTCAGTGAGAAACAGTGTCTCAATGGATAAAGTGGAGATTGAGAAGAAGATGCCCAGGGTTCTCCTTTAGCATTATCATGTGAGTGTATGGACATGTGCATGCACATACATATGTGCATACATCACACACTCTACACAATACACACAGATTTGAAAAAGAAACAAGCCCATGTTTGCAACAGCCACCCCTCTTGTCCAGCACCCAACAGGATGTAAATGATTCAACAACAGCCAGAAGTCTAGGTGCTTTTTAGTGATTTCTAATGGAATTTCTTACCTGGGATGCCTGGTGGTGTTTTCAGATATTTTCCATTAAAATGTTGAATTACCACTTCACATTTTTCCGTAGACTCCATTCTGGGGAGGAGAAAAGTATGGGGAGGTGAACGTGAGACTATAGACTTTTGTCGAGTTGTTCTTATAAAAAAAATCATCAGGAAAGGGTAACCAAGAAAGAGATGGACAAGCTTGCTTTGACATATGTACATGGGCTATCATCTGTTGTCATTGCTACTGTGGGAACTGACAGGACACTGTGAGGTTACCAATGCTCCATGTCTCATCTGTGTAGTGCTGCCCATGTGGATGTTATGGAGCTAATCTGAGACATTTTCTTCCTTCCACACAGGCCTCTTTGCAGTTGAAAGCACACAATAGATATTCATCAAATGACTGAAGGAATGAAATGACCCTGAGAGGCAGGTCATATCAACAAGGGCACTGAGGCTGGAGAAGGTAAACTTTACTTCTCCAGGAAGTGGTGGTTGGAGCCGGGACATGTACCAACATCCAGCCATGGTTAAGGACTGTGCTGTAACACCTCAGCTGCACAGTGAGGACGATGAACATTATTTGAATAGCTTACTGCCTGTGGCAGGGACCAATGGGACAGTTATCAGTACCATGGCACTTGTATTGTAAAGTTGCTGTGTAAAAGATACGGGGAGACCGTTATGTAGCAAGAATCTAAAAGCACACAAACGCATACTTTCTTCACTTTAGAATTTTGTCAATTTTCCTATTATTTCTTAATTTTTAAGTACTAGGTGTCAATATTCATAATATGACGTTTTTGTGTAAAATGTCGGCGTCTCATGTACAACCTAAGGAGAGATAAACTTTCAGCCCTCCCAGCATGACATTAATCTTGGAATGGTTGCCATGACTCAGGTACAGTTCCAAGAACTTTCAAAAATTTAATTGTGTATGGTCTTTGTTGCTTCTACAACTCTTTGTGTGTGTGTGTGTGTGTGTGTGTGTGTGTGTGTGTGTATGTGTGTGTAGACAAGGGGAAAACCTTGGCTGCCATCTACCTTGTTTTTTGAGACAGGATCTCTGAAACTCACTAAGCAGCCTGTGCTGGACAGAGTCCCAGGGAGCTGCTGGTCTCCATCCACCCAGAGCTGGGACTGCAGGTGCTCACTACACAGCCGACTTACTACCTGGCTTCTGGGGATTGAACTCAGGTCCTGGTGCTTGCAAGGCAAACGCTTTAATGATGGAACCCCATCCCCAGGCAGCTCCACAATGTTCAATTTTGATTAATGACAACAACTTAAAGACTAATTATATTTTTACTTAAGTGTGTGTGTGTGTGCGCGAGTGTGTTGGGGGGGGGGATTGTGTGTGAACAGCACCTGTGGAAGCAAAAAAGAGGAGTGTGATTTCCCCCAGAGCTGGAGTTACAGGAGGCTAGGAGCCACCACAGGTAGGTGCTGGGGACTGCACTCATGTTCTCTGGATGAGCAGTACATGCCCTTAGTTACAGACTCATCTCTCCAACTCCATAAATTAAATTTTAAATATAATAAATATATAAATTTAAATATATATAAACACAGAGAGAAAGAGAAAATTTTATCCATTATTTAATGAGAAGAACCTTCAAGCTAACTATATGCTTTCTGTTTCTATAAGTTTTTTTTTTTTTTAAGTAGGAAACTCCCTTTTCTAGGAACAAAAGAATTCGAATTCTGCTTCCCTATCTTCCCACACGAGATTTACTCCCTGTTACCTCTTTGAGGAAAAGATTCTTCCTGGGTAGAGACGTGAATGGGAGAGGAAACGGGGGCCTTTAACTCCCACAGATGCTATATTAAGGGAATTTCATTCTTGGAGTTAAAGACAGAAGGCTCACGCCTTGAGAGCCACTTCTGTGTTATGTCTCTCCCTGAGCTCACGCAGAAAACAGACAGAGGAGACTAAGTGTTGCTTGCAAAGCCCCACAAATCAAATCCTTTCTCTTTGTCCTAAAATGACATATAATTCTAAACGAAGACCAAACATAGCTGAAGGTTACAATGTGCAATTGCTGATTTGGGGAATACAGAACAAGCTAAAAAGAAAATGGGCTGCTATCCACTTCACGTGCCTAGTCTATTTTTACTCTGGTTTGAAACTTTCAAGTCTCCCTTCTGGGTTCTAAATAGGATCGTCTTTTCTTAATGCCATTTTACAGCCATGGTGGGCCTGATTGGGGGTGGGGGGAGTTCTTTCTAGGAACACAAAGGTAGCATCAGAGATGGCTCACTTTGGGTTCATTCAGATCTAACTAAGTAGATGTCTGCTGGGAACCATTAGAGAGTAAATGCAATGAAAGACTTTTCCATAGCTGTCAGCATGCAGCATCAAAGGATGTTACATTGTATCACTCAGCAGTGACAATTTCATTTGGATACAAAGGGGCACACCTGAACATGGCAAAGCTGCCCCAGCAACAATGGCTCGGGCTCTCTAGGAGCTGCCAAAGGGGCAGGGGTAATGTTCTGGAAACAGAACAAGTGAGACCTGTAGGTGAATACCCATGTTAGCCAGAACATGCCTATTTTCTTCTCAAGTTTCACAATTAAGTGCTCCAAGAGGCTGCCAGCTGAAGCTCTCTGAAATCTGGCCCATGCAAGGCTTGAAGCTGACAGGAATGCTCTCAAGTCCGCGCTGGAAACAGCTGCCTTTACAAGCCCCTTCCAGCCATCCTGGCCCAGCACAGTGACTCCATTCTTCTAGGAAGTATCTGAGCCCCTCTGTGTCCTCCAGAAAGTCTCCCAGGTGGAGTCAACCCTTCACCTGACAAGGATTTAACCAGGCTCTTAGGAGGTGCCAAGCACTGTGTAAAGCTTTGGGGGGGGGGTGTTTGAATGTAAACACATATTCAAGGTCCTGTTTCTCTCTTGTCTCAGGATTTACAACTGCTGGCTTCAGTCATTTGAAACACACTGAAGGATTCTATTGTTGCCTCTCTCTCTTCCTTCCCTCCTCCTCTTCCTTCTTTCTTCCCACCTCCCCTCTTGTTCTCCCTCTCCTCCTCACTTGTCTTCTTCCTCCTCTTCCTCTTCTAAACAACTACTACTGCAGAAGGAAATTGATTTTGTACCGCACACAATTCCCACAGTCAAACTACGACCCAAGAGAACCTGATCCAGCACTAGCAGAATGTTCTGGATCAGGCTTGACACACAGAGGAAGGAAGTCTTGTGGAAACCCATGTTCAGCTTAACTGTCTCACCTCAACAGAGTACTCTCAGGTCAAGATCTGAAAGCATTATAAGCCATGGATTTCAAAACAAATCCACTCTGTCACAGGCTATGCTTAATTAGAGGTTTCCGCTCTTGTGAAATGTTTGGGATTTTGCAATCACGGGCACTGGATAAACACTTGGTGACTTGGAGCATCCAACTTTAGGAGCCAAACATCCTCATTTCTGGTAAGATTTTTGCAAAGAGTCAAAGCTACCAGAGGAATTTTAATGACTAAAATGTGTGCTTTTTCTGACATTCCAAAATTAAATAACATCATTTGCTTCTTAACCCGTTGTAGCATAGAAGGCAATAGTGGTTCCATAGGACAAGGACAGATTTTTTTAAATCTCTTTTAGGTTTATACCTGTGTGTGTGTGTGTGTGTGCATGTGTATGCATTCATGACACTCATGTGGTAGAGGTTAGTCGTCAAGTGACGTTCCTCAGGCACCATCTATGTTTTTTCCTTAGAGACAGAGTCTACCCACCCAGTAGGCTAGGCTGACTGGCAACTTGCTCTCTTCCAGTTAATCTCGAGCCATTCTTAGGACACATATCAAACAGGAAAGCAGTGTCCTGGGTTAGTTCCCTCTGCACACTCCACACATCTTGGTCATTCACCATTACAACTCATTCCTCTCAGCAATGGGTTGTGGGTAAAGCTTGGCATTGAACGCTATCTGGTTTTACTATGTTGGGGATGAAGCATGGGGCCTCAGGTATGCTAAGAAAAGGCTTTATCAGTCAGTCACATCCCCAGACACATTAAGATTCTCATTATTAAGTCAGTTTTCTTTAGGGATGTGGCCCTTGAGAGGATATCCATGCTCAAGCAGATGGCCCTATAGCCATGTGCATGCAAGCAGCCTTAACTGCACACAGTGGGTTTAAAGGGGGGCAGGGAACATATAAAATTTGGAGAAAAACGTAGAGATTGCAGGGGAGGAATTAATGGGTTGTTTGGAAATGGCATGGATTTGATCAAAAGACATTTTTTTTTCCAAACGGTAATGAAAAAGTTAAATAAAAATGTATCACAGTACTAATGAGTTAAAAATTGTCTTAGATATCATTTTCTCCATTATAGAGTTTTTTTTAAATCAACTTGTGGATGACATGGGGGTCCTCCCTGAAGACTGGTTAGAAGATGACCTGGGCTAGAAGCTATTCCTCCTGTCTCAATTGAGATGTTTTATAGAAGATAGACCACCGTCGTCAGCCTCACCATCTGTCTGAGTTTCATTTCTCTTGCAGTGATAAAATATCCTGACAAAAGAAAAGCAATTTAGGGGACAAAGGGGTTTATTTCAGCTTAAAATTCAAGGTTACATCCAGTTCATCACTGTGAGGAGATCAGGGCAGGAACTTCAGTAATGTCTCACACACAGTTGGAGGGAAACGCATGTGCGCATGCTCCTTTGCTTTAATCGGTGGGAAATGCTTTCGCGCATGCTCTCTTGCTTGCTTGTGCTCGGCTCAGTTTTTCCACTCTCTTACAGTTTAGGATGTGATTGGATCTGATTGTAAGGCATGGTGCTGCCCATTTTAGGCTGGGCCTTTAAGAGAAATCAACTTAATTAAGGCAATCACCACAGACATGGCCACAGGCCAAACTGATATATGAAACCCTTCATTAAGATTCTCTTTCCAGATGACTCTCTGTTGAGTGAAGTTGAGGATTACTGCTGACCCTGCATCCCGTCATCCCTCTGAGCGCCTAGGTTGATTCATCTCATCTTGCTCAGGCTCCCTTCTGTCTTTACCCTACAGATTCCTAAACTGGAGAGATGTTCGTAAGTGATTCTATTACATATACCCTGACAAGGGATGACAAGAAAGGCC